TTCTTCCTTCCTCCTCTCATCTCTCTCTCTTTCCTATTCTCTCCTTTCTTCTCCCATCTCTCCCTTTCCTCCTTCCTTCCGTCCTTCCTCCCTCAAAATTTTTAAAAATATGTCATTATAAAACCTCAACTTAAATACAGAGGGTGAATGCCCTCACACAGGACTGCTAGAGTCTAAAAGCTCAGTGAAACAATTCAGCCTCAGTGTGCCAATGAAATATTAACTGGGTATCCTAGAAGGTTCAGGCTGGTGTCAAGCAAATAATTTTGTTCCCCAAATAAAGCCAGTGCGTTATTCTGTTGATTTTTAGGAGGAAACAAAATAGATACATTGAAGCCTCAAGTAGCAATATACCCCTCTTTATTTGATAGATAGATAGATAGATAGATAGATAGATAGATAGATAGATAGATAGATAGATAGATAGATAGATATTTATTTATTTATTTATTTATTTATTTCTGGTGTTTTCTGTGCTGCTGAACTCCAGAACAGCTCTGAGGTGCCTATAGCAGAACTATTGAGGCGAACGATATCCAAGTGCTGACAATTAAAATATATTCCAGTTGCACTAATTGGCTCAGGAAGGCCATAATAAATAGAAAGAAAAGCTTCCTGTCTCCTAAATGCTTTCTTCCAGAGCCAACTTGGTATCCCTTTTTGGAAACTTAGTAGATGGGGGTAGTTCTTACCTTTAAAAATATCCCTCAGTTTCCCCCTGTGGTGGGAGGGCACTGATCTGAAAAATTGGTCCTTACTCCTTCTGATGATATAATCATATCTTCATTTCACCTTCTGTGGCCCTCGACCCAAAATGAGGAGGAGGAAGAAGAGATGATGGTGATGATTAAAAGAGGTCTTGCAGCAAAGTCATTCTTACAGTTACTGGTGCATTTGGCAGAATAACAAACTGATTGAGCAAACGATTACAGGAATTAAGTAATTCCGCCATCTCAAATGGATTTACCAAAACAAAGCAAAGCAAAACAACACAACACAACACTTTGCTGGGCAGACGTTACGTCTCCTGATGTCGCTTGGGTGAATCTAGAAATCATCCAAGCAACATACAAAGATTTAACATTTGGTCGGCTGCAATTCGAATTTCCAAAGAACCGGTCCCAGATCTGACCCTTGTATTTGTTCTTTATGCTGTGTTATTCTTTGATGGATGAAAACCTCCTCCTCCTCCTCCTCCTCTCCATTGTGTAAAAGGTGTGTCCACCTGCTTTAGCTATGGAAGCTTGACGTAAGATTTAAAAAGTCATGGAGTGAAGGATTTCTTTAAGTAACGGCAAGGAGACCCATGAGCCACCTTGAAGGATAAATCTGCTGGCATCTTCCTCCCAGCACCTTGGTTAATTTGCCTTTCGTTAATTTGGCTGGAATGTTGTTGCTTTTTAGAGAGGTCCATTCCTGTGTGTTTTAGCATTAGCAGATGGTCAGGGGTCATCAGCCTCATCGCTCTGTGGAGGGGAGGGAGGGAAATGTAATGTGCTACCCTTCTGGGGCCAGAGAGCACCATATTGATCTTCTGGGCAGAAGGCAAAGACTTTGGTACCCCTTAAATCTTCTGCAAAAGGGAGGAGAATAGCTCTTCCATCAGCAGGAGCCACAGGGGCAATAACTCCACATAGCTGAGATAAGGCTGTCTAATAGTAGCAGAAAGACTCCCAGCTGCTTAGTTATCCACATTCCTGAAAAGAAATAGTTGCAAAATGGGAAATAACTCTCATGTTCCAAGTGCTTCTTTCACAAAAGTCAGCTTTTCCCTGCTTTCCTCCAGAAATATTAAAGCGTTCCCGTGGTGGCTGGGGTTTTTAGAAGTTGAGGTTGAACACACCTAAGTTTCAGAAGGCAGATTGTCTTCCTCATGCTCTTCCTTTAAGCAGCCTGAGGAATGACAGAAGAATTACACTGAGACGCAACAACACCCTTTTTGTTGTCTGCTGTTGATTGATTAGGTGCCATCAAGTCATTTTTGACTCCTAGTGATCACATAGATAGATTTCTCCATGACAATCTATCCCTAACCTGTTCTTTCAGGTCTTCCAACGGTGCACCATCACTGCTTAATTGAGTCCATCTGCCGTGCTTCTGATCATCCTCTTTCCTTCCACCTTTTCCAGCACGATGGACTTCTCTAGGAATTGTATGGCTTGCTCAGATAGAAGTTGATGGATTGATTGATTGTATGCCATCAGGTCATTGTTTACTCTTAGTAAGATAGATTTTCTCCAGGAGGACCTGTCCCCAACCTGGTCTTTCGGGTCTTCCAAGGGTACATTCATTACCACTATAACTTGAATCTAACCACCTTGCTGCTGGTTGTCTTCTTCTCTTTCCTTCCACCTTTCCCAGCCTTAGAGCCTTCTCCAGAGAGCTAGGTTTTCACATAATATGGAAATATGGTTGGAAAAGTCACCTGCATGAAGGGAAAAAAAATCCTTTGAAATGCATAGGGGATAACAGTATGATGGGGGTCACAGGGTTGTGGCTAAGAGCACAGATGGGCTGGGGAGATGGAGATTCAAGTCCACCCTCCACTGTGGAAACTTGCTGGGTGATTTAGGGCCAGTCATTCTCTCAGCCCAACCTACTCACAGGGTTGTTTTTAATGGGGGGAAAAATGGAGGAGGAAATGCTATGTATGCTATCTTAAGCTCTGGAGGAAAAGCAGGATATAAATCAGACACATGGAATACATATATTGTAGAGAGTTCTTGCTGGATTCAGTGGGATTAAGCAAATTTTTCTTTTTCCTTTGAAAGTGCATGGGAAAGGAATGCTTCCTTTTATCTTAATTTAGGCCATGGAGCATGAAGTGGGGATAGGAACTATCTTAGTATAACTAAATCGATAGATGCAAGACAACAGATCCAAAGGTTTATTTGCCGAATTGGCAGTCTTGGTGCTTTCCCTCCAAGGCTGGTTCATTGCAGGAGCAGGCCCAGAAAACTGTACAAGTTTGACCCACCTAATGACTTTTTTTATTTGTCTGCTTACAGCAAATGGCTGCAAAAATTGGAGAAATTTCTCACTTGAACAATTCTGCACCAATCGTGGACCCCGCTGTGTATGGTTATGGAGTAAAACGGGCCTTGGACGATGGAAGTAAGTCCCCTTGTTTCAACCTTCGAAGTGCCTTTTACTTTAGCAGACGTTTGGTTTGGTAATGGCTGGACACGGGGAGGAGAATTAGGGCTTGTTGTCTTCCAGCGTGCTGGCCCTTCCAAGGGCAGAATGATGCAGAACTCGTAGAAGTGGTTAGAAGAATAATTTTGCCAATAGCAACAATGCTTGGGCACACTGTTTAGTCTTTCCCTTGATAAGATAAGGGGAATTGGGTGCTGAGTGGCACGAATTAATGTTCTGTCCAAGGAGTGCATGTCCGAGGGCAAATCAATTTTGGAGATGTTGATTAGCTCCAAGGGAGGTTGACATTTTCTCGTGGAAGGAAACAAAAAAGAGTAGAGTTAAGACTCCCCTCTTTGTTGGTCCAAGTCTGATGTGTCCTATCTCTACATTGTCTTCTGTGGCATTGTCATTTGTCCTAGGAAAGTTGTGTTGAGTTTTCTTTATTTACAGAGCTTGTATTCAGGACTTATATTCTGCTCCAATTCATTCTGACTCTGAGCAGTTTTGGACTGTTGTTTCTGTTTTATGCATGGACTAAAATTGCTCCATTTGGGGAGGGAGTCCTAAGTGTTTTGGGTTTAATGGATTAGAGACACTTAGTCCTGCTGGGTATACTAGAATATATTTGAGGGTCTTTCAGTCCTGTTTTGTCCATTCTGTGTTACTGGTGCCTAGCAAACTGCCTATTAATGCTTCACATCTGCCTTCCTGCTTTTTATATTGCCACAACCTTCCTCATTGGGACTACATCTCCCAGAATACCCTGCCATCTGAAGAAATGATAGGTCCTGTGCCATTCTGGGGGCACTGGATTTGGAGGAGACTGGACTCACTCACATTAAGCCAGGAGCAAAGAAGAAATAATCAGATGTGTTAATTTTTGCCCCTCATTTTATTTTATTTTAACAAACATTTGAAAGCACAACCAAGTGGGGGGGGAGCAAAAAAGAAAAAGCAGAAAAGAAATAGAGAAGAGATTTATAAGCAGCATAAAATGGAATAAGAGTTTTTGAGACAGCATTGGAGGAAGACAAAGGTGATCTTATATCAATTTAAGCACTTTAAAACCACTGTTAAAATCTAATCAGTGTTCAGTAATTAACAAAGGCAACCAACAAAATAAGGATCATCAATCAAAAGAAACAATTAATAGGAGTTTCTATCTAATTTGAGAAAGTCTGTATGTACTGTAATGAATTAGGCAAAATCTAATATTTTAAAAAACCTTCCATTAGGAGAAACTTTGGATACGGTACAAGTCTGTGCGCATAATTACAATCCATTAAAGTCTTCGTATTTATTCATTTAAACAATTTAGATGGCCGCCCATCTCACAGCAGTGACACTGGGTGGTGCACAAGTTAAAAATCTACAATTAAAGCAACAATTCAAATAATAGAGATTCAAGGCCACAAAAACAAATCCCAGCTTACAATAAAAACAACATCAGCCAGCAAATTCAGTATCAGACCTGGTGTTTAAATACAAAGCTATTTTTGACACTGATGCATGTTGACGTAGCTTAGTCTGCTGTTCTAAGACAGGAATTGTGTGTAATTTCCAGTAAGAAGCATAAAATATCGTAGCAGCCATTACCATATACAGAGCCAACTCCATATACTTTGTACAGACATAAAGATTAGTAACAGTTAACAGAAAAACAGCTGGCAAGAAAGAAAAGCTGATATTCAGACATTTGTTTCATTCTATGACGAATCATCTTCCAGAGCTGTTGAGCTGTAGTGTGTTAATTTTACCTGCTGTGACTTCAGGAATGTCTACACCTCATTTTTAATGCAAGTAGAAAATCTGCCTTGGAATGCCCAGAGCTCTCTCCATTAAAACATGTTTCCTCTTCTCTCTAGTAAGTTGCTCTTCCCAGAAAAAACATTCAGGTTTCAGAAGAACCTTGCAGTCACCTCTAAGTCAGTTGAAGGGACTACAACCAGAAATAAATTTGACAAACACTCCCATAGGATTTGCACTCCCATAGGATTAGAAATCCTATGATTAGAATATGGGAATATAGAATATTAAAACATGGGAGTGTTAAAAACACTCCCATAAGATTAGAAATAATAATATTTCCTTTCCCTACCAAGACAAAACGTCCATGTAATACTGCTACTTGGGATTTTCCAAATAATGGAATGGCCTTGTTCCTTTAAGTGCTGAACCACAGCTCCCATCTTTCCTGTTTGGTCATCAGCCATGCTGGCTGGAAGTGTTGTTTAATATTTTTGGGTGGCATAGGGTGGGCAAAGCTATATTCTTTCATTCTTTCATGAAGGCATTGTGGCCCTGGCTTACGTTGTGTGGCTAATTGTGTCCTGCTTTGTTGTAATGCTGTGATATGGAGAGTCATTTATTCTGACACACTTTACACAACTGGGGGCTGTACATTCTCTGATCCAGGTCTTTTATTGGGTGTGCCTTTTCTCCCCCCCCCACCTGCCTTTCTAAACTTGAATATATCTGCAGTTCTGCACCTAACATGAAGGTAATCTATGTAAATCCTTGAATTATCATCACTTCAGTAAATGTTGTCTCTCTGGTCACCAGCCCAGCTTACTTTTTCAAACAGGACCCATATTTTTCTCACCTCCACACCAAGGCTTCTTCAGTCCCTTCCTTCTCAACTGAAGAACAACAAAAGAATTTAGTGTTTCTCCTTGCCTTTGCTTTGGATCCCATGTGATTCGAGCCCAAACTAAGTTAGGTTGTTTATTTTGGGCAAAGCGTGTTGGGAAAACCCAGCTTATTGCAGTTATATTCTGTCCCCACATCCCACCAAGCTTTGCAACCAGGCCGTTTGTTGTTCACCTCATTGCAAGTTGGTTAACAACTTCATGTACAAGATATATTTCCTTAGCAGTCCAGCCCATTCAACCTATCCCCTCCCTTCCTCTGATTCATAATTTAGCCTGGAAGAAAATCTGTAATTGGCCCCCGTGCCAACAGAATTGCCCTGCACTCTCTGCTCGCTTGGAGATGATTGGGAAAGATTTGATAGAGGAAGAAAAAGAGGATCTGGGATACAGTCCTCATTTGTCTTGAGTTGCCTGAAGATTTCCTTTACTGCTTCTTTTCATCTCTCTAACACTCATGCATATTCTAAACCCAGGAATGGCAACCTCAGCAGCGAGAGATGCCTGTAAGAGTTGTACCTATCCATTTCTGAAACTAGACAGCTGATTGATAGAGCATTACGAAATGGAGATGCCCTGGCAGGGCATCGATTGTCACAAGTTCCCAGAGCTTTTCTAAGTGGAGGGGTGGGGGCGGGGGCGTCATTTTGAAGAAGCTGTCCGATATCGCCTGGCTTAAAATAGACTTAATCTATTCCTCGCACAACTGAAAATGGCTGAACTGACCTGGGCAATGGGCATGAAATGGAGCTTGAAATGCAGAACTCATTCTCGTTTTCTCATTCTCCACCCTCCTTTTTAAATTATTTCCTGCAAAAGGTGCTCTACTTTCTTAAAACAGGCAGCTGAAAACCTGTAGTAATTGGGCTGCTCGGCAAGGAGGGGGGAAACATTTTTCATGGCTGTGATTTTCTTAAGCACCTTGCGTCTGCCAAGCTGCCTCCTGGCAAATCTGTTTTAATTTTTATCTTTCTACCACCTCTGCTGAGAAGGCTTTCAAACTTCAGTCTTTGTGTGCCCTCTCTGACTAGTACTAACTCAGCTTTTCTGGCACCTTTTTTTTGTTTAATTGAAGAGCAGGGGATACATTCTGTAAGTAGATGTTTGCTTTACTTGTTTATGATGTAAAAAGAGGAAGCCAACTTTGCCTATCTTCAATCTGTTTCCATCAAACAGAGAAGGCAATGCTTTGAAATCGTTTTTCTGTTCTCACTGAGATGAGTCTGGACGATGCCTATTTGTTGACTGATCCAAGGTGGCAGAACTAGCCTTAGATGGCACCCACCATTATTAAGCACATTGGCTCTGTCCAACAGCCTTCCCAACCATATGCCTTCCAGATGTTTTGAAGAGTGATTCCCACCGCCAACAACTCTTGACCATCCTAGCTGGGATTAATGGAATTTGTAATCCCAAATATCCAGAAGTGCCAAAGTGGGGAGGACTCTGAAGAGCAATACGGTCTCTCATCTGGTAGGGCTTAGACTGGATTGGTCAGCTAAATAAGAAGGCTGGCAGTCTATCCACATTAAGGGGCAACCAAGGTGAGTTGCGAGGAAGAGTCTCAGGTTGTGAACCATGCCTGGAATTCTGTAAGATAACGACTGAGGTTCAGCAATGCATTACATCTCCTCCATGCATGAACTTACTAGTAGGTTGACACTTGCTTCTCCCAGTCTACACATGGGGAGGACGTCCTGACTTTCAGGCCTGTTGTAACAAAGGTGCAAAGCCACATGAAGCATTATGACCACCTGGAAGTGCAATTCTGACGTAGGCCATCCGTCTACTATGTGTCATTCAACCATAGAGCAGTATCCCTCAACTGGGTTGAGGCTACAACTCCCATAAATTCTCAAAGGCTGTGTGAAAACAGCTGTTGACATTTGTGGGCCTTTGGGCCAGCATGCTAAGCGAGCCCTGCTGTTGATTTGGTGGGTTGTTTTGATTGATTGTGAATGTAACATGGTTTTTAGACCTAGGGCTTGTGTGATATTGATAGTTTGGGGTTGTGTATTTCAGTTAATGTTGGCTTTTCATCTTCTGTTCACTGCCTACAGTCACTGTTGTGAGATGGCTGGCTATGTAAATGGTTTAAATAAATGAAATAAACGACATGAAGGTTTGTGGTCTGCATTGTTCCGGCTTGGTCAAACCACTAAAGAAGGTAGTGTCTGTTTACAACTGGTCAATGAAGTGGTAAATTGATTAGTATTTTCAGGGGAAAGAAATAAAGGCGCTGAAATGTATACTTATTTCGGCTTGCCAGTAGAGAACTCGGCATGCTAATAAATCTAGGGATCGCTTTCGGAAAATGGTTTCTTAAAA